TTATTTTGTTAAAACAGATTCTGATTGCACACATAAGTACTCTGAAGTTGACATCAAGAAGATGCTTGAGTTTCTGATTGACAATATCTATGTGGTTTTTGGAGATCAGGTATTCCAACAATTTATTGGAATTCCCATGGGTACAAATTGCGCTCCGTTATTAGCAGACTTATTTTTATATTCATATGAAGCGGAATTTATGCAAAATCTTTTGCGTGAAAAGAAGAAAACACTTGCTGTGGCCTTCAACTCGACATTTAGATATATCGACGACGTATTGTCAATTAATAATGATAATTTCCATTCCTACGTCGACACGATATATCCTGGTGAGCTTGAGATAAAAGATACCACAGAGTCCGACACTTCTGCTTCATACTTGGATATTTTACTTGAAAAAGACACTAATGGTAATCTAACAACCAAGCTATATGATAAACGTGATGACTTTAACTTTTCTATCGTCAACTTCCCTTACTTATGCAGCAATATACCTTCATCACCTGCATACGGAGTATTTATATCTCAGTTGATTCGATACGCAAGAGCATGCTCTACGTATGAACAATTTCTTAAACGAGGTAAATTATTGACAAGCAAGTTGATGAAACAAGAATATCAACAGTCTCGTTTAAAGTCATCATTTCGTAAATTCTATGGTCGATACAATGACCTTGTCAGCAAATACAATTTATCATTGAATGAAATGCTGACTGACGTTTTTCATACCAATTGTTAGTCCATTATTTATACACTGAATTGACCACGGATTTTTTCCGTTATTTCCTGATTATGACAACGAGCACACGGCGGGTGTGACCGGTGCAGGGGATGCTCACTCCTCCATGGCACCTGATCCCACCTCTTATGTTTCGGAGGTCCGTGTTTGCTCTGCTCTTATTTTGTATATTTGTTTAATGGACGTTGAGATTGAATACTGTTCGTTATTTCCATATCCTTCTCTTAGAGCAGTGTAGTCACCCTTGGACTTCCGGTACAAGGACTGTCCTTAATGCATATGATACGTAAGACCCTGCTGAGGCGAAATGTAGTGAAATTCGCATCTGCAACTTTCCGTCACATTTACATTGACATTTTCCAGCTAGAGCAATGGGAATGTTTAAATAAGCCATTTTCAAATAGCCTTATTATTTTAATTTATTATTAATAATTTTAAGATACAAAATTCTTTACTTTATAAAATTATTTCCCCCTGAAATAGGGTGTTGCGTTTCTTTTGCGTGTCAGTATACTTTCTACAAATAAGACAATTCCACTCCATCACATTTAAAAGTTATGAAATATTATTTGGTAAAAATTATTTTCTCTCCGTGTCTGATAAAAAAAAAACCGCCTCTTATTGAAATATTCATGATCACGTTGTCTCGCATGTTTACAGCAAACAATGGTCCAATCTCGTGAATGAATTCGAACCGTCAAGCATGATGGTCTACTACGTTTTTACTACAAACACGTGAGTTATAGGGATTGTCAATATTGAGAGCACCTCATCAGAGTTGGTTGCTTTTTGTACCGAGGAATAATCACGTGCAATTGTCTTTTCAATGGACATTTTCGGTTGGGTGAACTTCTACAGATGTCAGCGACTATGGATAAAGAAGTGTGGAAACCATGTTTTGCCAAAATGAAATAACTACTACAAACAAATGATATAATTTGATTAGTCAAAATGGTTATTAGATACATTCGATTCTGCATTTTTTTAATGGTTCAAAACAACAAAAAGTACTCCACAGAATATGTATTTAAATCTGCACAATATACCGAATGCCAAAACCAGAATACTACTAAATAATATAATTATATTCTTTACATATGAACCACAGTATTTCTGACCCCTTGAAAATAATATAAAAAATCTTGCAAGTAGGTTATCAGCATTGGCTCGGGATAATTCAAAAGTGAAATTTGGAGTTTGGAAGTAAATTGTAGTGAATGAATAATATTTAGTGGTGAAAGATATTGGAACCTATTTTACTTGTCAGATTTCTTCGAGCTAGTTGAGTTTTATTCTAACTGTTCTATCCCCCCACCCACTTTAAAAAAAAAAACGATGCTACCTACCTGAATTAATTTTTCTTAATGGTGTTCATCGAAATGCTTGGTTGTGCCCTCAAACTGGAATAGTTTTTAGAGGCCTGGAATTCCTTGACCAATTTTATTTTATTAGCCCAACTATATTTCTAAGAAGGCAAGATGTATGGTATGTAAGTTTCATATATATATGTTATGTAGTTCATTTTAAAAAAAACCAAAAGGAATAATTGACGATATCCCATTCAGGGTGTAAACAAATCAATTTAAATTACTTTCCATACATTTTACTTGACATAAAATATTTTTTGCGCATTATGCGCTCCATATTGAAGATCCGTAAATATGTTCACCCAACCGAAAATGTCCGCTAGCAGTACAGCACGGGGAAACTCTAAACAAACGGACCTGTAGAATGGAGTGGGGAAAACTTTAATTTTCATCATTGTTAATCATTTGTATGCAAATTTGAGCATGGGATTTGTAGATAATAATATACATAATGCATCAAGTCTTTCTGGGAGCGATTTAAAAAACTAGCCTTTTTGAAAAACACATGTAGTATTTTATGTAGTAACCCATAAATGCATTAAATGCAACTCATTGAGCTGATTGGTAAATTTGTGTCCCTCACTGAACAGACGTCACAAAAAATATTTTCCTCGACCTGGTGATTCTCACAATGCTTTTCCCGCGCACATGCGCAGATATCCAGGATAAACGTCAGTCCTTTATAAATATGCATGAGAATATCGTGTTCTTTTCCTGACCAGTACTTTGTTAATATCGAATAAAATTTTATCGAATTTGCAAGAATGCTTCATTTTTTGGTAGCATATCATACTCCAGAAATTTTTGTTCGGTTTCAGCTGTGCAAAAATACTGTTTAACACGGCATACATATCTTTAAAATGTTTCTAATTTTCCGGATAAATTATGCCTACTGTAATTGAGGGTTAGGTTTTAAAATTAGTGAGCACATATTCCATTTTTTGCCGGCCTGCCTAATTGAAGACCTACAGGTAATTGAAGACCTACAGAAGACCTACGGAAGACCTACAAAAATTGGGGATATATACAGCAAAACTGATATAATATTCTGATTAAGCATGCTCTAAATATATAAAATACTCAAAAAAGTTTTATAAAAAGAAGTTTTAAAGTGTATTTTTTAAGCTCGGTAAGGGGAACTATTTCTTCAGACGACCTACGGAAAGAACGATAACTCTGGCTGACTTGTCTTGTAAACAACAACACGCTCATTTATATTGTGAAGTTTATAGGAAGAATTATATATGTATATGACATAATAAAAAAAATGCAAATGATTTTGTTGAGTTTTTCAGTTATGAATTATGATAAAGAAATCAGCTGGATGATGAATTTTGATGAAGTTAAAAATATAAATAATTATCATGATTATTTCATTTATCAAATTAATATTTGAAATCTATAGTTAATATTTAACAAATAATGCAATTCTTTTAATATGTGTTTTATGGGATAAATATTAAATATTCAAGTTCAAATTATTGAAATGTATGCTGTGGATTTGTCTCAATTAACCAATATTTACTAAGGGCTTCGATCTTCACTAATTTGTTGTATACACAGACACCCTGAGGATATATCCGTGTTTAGATTGCAAATCAACACACCCCACTTGCTCTGATGAATGTTAATTTGCAGTCAACAGAGCAAAGATATATAATATTTATTTTATATCCTAAAAATGCTAGCAAGAATAAACAAATAAAATTATTGTGCATTTATTCAGAATATAACTTACTAAAATGAATTACGTTTTGAATTTTTTTTTTAATATTCAAAATAGTCATATTTTTTCAGTATAACACATTTATATGACATTCACGAGGAATATTTAATAACTTAATTAAATGTATATTTCCAAATAACATGCTGTATGCCAAGAAATAGGCACTATAATATGAAACATAATGTTTTATTTCTTTTACATTTTGAGCCAAAATATACATTTGAAGATACCAGGTGTACCATTCAATAATTAAATTAAAAGAAAATACACACTTTTTAAAATTGAATAAAATAATAAACATGCATGTTATCACACATAAGAAATGCATGCATATTTTTAAAAAAAAATTTGATGCTTTGACTCGGGGGAAATAATATTTTGAAAGTGATTATGTCTGTGTTCTTCTTGAAAAATTACTTCAAATTCTTTTAACTGCAATTTTAAAATTTTCATTCTCTACATAAATGCAAATCTTATAAAAATTTCCAGATGTTATAAATGACATTACTAGGTATTATTAATTTCAACAATTCAAACTTGAACTAAATATTATACTGATCTATTTATAAACACATATAAAATACTAAATATAACGTATATACAAGTGTATGTATTTATAATGATTTTATGATTGACATAATATATAATGGTATTATAAATTATGTACAGTGTTTACAATTTTACTAATTTTAATAACTATTTTTTTTTTTAACAAAATAATTGTTTTGACTGAATATTGCATTTTATTATTATTATTTTTTTTTATCTTTGATGTATGTATATATAAAGAATCTCCAATGATTTTTTTCCGTCCTTTAACATTATTTTTTATTTACATTTTTCTGATAATTACATTTTCTTAATATGTTTTGGTGAACAGCTGATTTGTTATTTACGCGAGTTATCGTTCTTGCCGTAGGTCTTCTGAGAGAAGAAATAGTTCCCATTACCGAGCTTAAAAAATACACTTTAAAACTTCTTTTTATAAAACTTTTTTGTGTATTTTATATATTTAGAGCATGTTTAATCAGAATATTATATCAGTTTTGCTGTATATGTCCCCAATTTTTGTAGGTCTTTCGTAGGTCTTCTGTAGGTCTTCAATTACCTGTAGGTCTTCAATTAGGCATTCCCATTTTTTGCCGAAGATCAAGATGGTGTGATAAGTATCATAAAACTGCACAGTGCACAAAGATCTGTAATCGGTTCTTTTTCTTTATTTGTGGTAGTGTATTGGGTCCATGTATTTATTTGTTATTTGAGAAAATTAGAATTCTGTTTTTCCTAGTGTTAGGGGGTTCAGGTAACCCGACTTACCTGTGTAATTGTGCTATTTACACGCAATTTATCGGTGTTTATAAACGTCTTTTTTGCATTATTATTCATAATTATCTAGAAATCAAATATAACGATTTTTTCTTCTTTGTTTGAACTTTCGTATGATGTGTGTATTATGTCATTCTAATAAGTCTGTGTTGAAAATTAACCGGGTCGAAGTTGTGCTAAAATTGGATACGGGGTTTCCCTTTTGATGCATGGCACTGTAAGTTTGTCTCCGCGACGTTGATAGCGTCATTTTGATTGGCTTTCCGGGAGGCGATTTTTAAGGAATTAACGACATTGACATATCACAGGAAAGCTTACATTTTGAAGATTAACATTGTTAATTTGTTGCATCTTGATGCAATGTGCAGAAGTTTATGTTTTTCCGTTTCAAAGGAAAGAGGTCAATTTTACTACGGTAAGTAATCAAAATATTTTTATGCAACATACACTACTGTATTAGAAAGCTGAGAAAATTTCCTATCAGAAAATTGTGGTTCCGTAATCATTTCAGAAAATAATTTACCCGGATTTCATTCAAAAGACGTCAACCCCACGCAACTTTTGAACAGTTTCTAAGTACCTTTAAATTCATGCACACTTTTGTATCGTAAAACCACAAGTGAAATAGAAAATGTGAGATTAAATAATTTTAGACTTGTTAGAATAAAGTCTATGAATTCGAAAACTATGGTCATTTCCTACTACATAACATATACAGGGGTCTATATATGCTAGTTAACGATCCCCGATATAAATGTACAAATTTGATTCTGCAGCCTGGATTTCCTCTGAATTCTGAAATACTGTCTGTATAATAAATGAATAACCCGAAGTTCAAATGTGATAAAAGAAAATATATATTTATTGTTTTACTTATAACTATAAAATATTTATAATTTTGTTTGTGCACATGATACTTTGTGGTTAATTTTTTTTACAGTTAAACTTCAGGAAAATGCTGTAGAATCATTCCATATCATGATTATGGTACCCGCCCGCGGCCTGTAGTAGCAGAACTCGAGATAGTTAGAATAATCTAACTGTGTCTCGGTACAGGCCCTCACCACAGTTAGAATACGTCCCATATACTTGTAATGTAGCAAATCGGAGCGGATCCGCTCCGAAACGATTTTGAAGAATATAAAATGATTTGCACTGGGAATAACTACCAAAATAATCAAAACAAACCTTCTTGAGATTGCTTATGCCTTTTATCCCAAAAAATAATCCATAGAAATATGAAAATCCAATTAATTTTTTCAACGTTTTTCTCGCGATTCAAATTACCGGCCATGTATACATTCGGAACTCTCTAGATTGTTCCAAGTAAATGCACTATGCGAGTTATCGCCCGTGTTTCTTTCTGCTACATTACGAATACACGGAACGAATTCTATCTAACGATATTTATTAAGAAAAATTATTTAATAAAGATATTCCACCAAATATTTCTGCTATATTTTCTTAAACTTGGTAAGACAAAGAGGAAAACTCACTGTTTCGACCTCCAATATGGCGACCAACGGGAGATAACCGGGTCCGTAGGACAATATCATTTTAACGATAGAACATTCTATCTGAATTGAGAGAGAAACTTAATACTCAACTTGTCCAGGAAGCATGGATAAAATATACAATTATAGATAGTTTTCATATGACCTAATTTTAGCAAAAGTTAGCTCCCGTTGGCCGCCATACTGGAGGTCCAAATGCTCATATTCCTTCATTGTTCAACCAATTTTAAATTTTTATATTTGCAATTTTGAATTAGGAATCTTTATTTTTCTAAGGTATATAAATTTTTGGAAGCCTCCTTTATTAAGAAAAATTATTTAATAAAGATATTCCACCAAATATTTCTGCTATATTTTCTTAAACTTGGTAAGACAAAGAGGAAAACTCACTGTTTCGACCTCCAATATGGCGACCAACGGGAGATAACTTTTGCTAAATTTGGGGCCATCGAAAACTATCTATTGATTGAAACCGAAAATTTGATATGTATTTAAAGATCTATGTAAATTTAAAAATAAAGTTGTGAATTAATTGTAGTAAATTCTTTTTTCCTTTTTTTTTTTTTTTTGCCATTTTCATGATATTGACATAGATTTTTCTTCTTTGCTAACTTTTAGTGACCATATTTTATTATGATCCTTATTTTAATAAATCTTTTAAAAGTAATAAATTGAAAATAATTCATAAAATTTCATTATTTATTCTTAACTCACCTGATTTTAAAAGTATGTTTTCAATAAGTCTGTAGCGGTCATTTTTACTATTGGCGGGCCGTGGCCATATTGGATATTTTGCCGCCATCTTGGATATTTTTAGCTGACATGGAAACAGAAAATTAGGGCTTGCATAGACCTTTCCGAAAATATATAGTTTGCCTTACTTCTAGATAAAATTAGACTCTATCCTTTAAAAAATCCTTTAAAAAATACCTAGATTTAACGGATTTTTCTTCCTTTTATGTGCCATCATTCAATACTCGTATGTATAGAAATTTCCTTACATAAAATAGCAGTACTCACAACATTGATTATTTCATAACTTCTGTTCTACTTGGAATTTTTTCACCAAGTAAAGTTTTTTATATTTCTTAATGTCTCCATGACTGTGCTAGAATATATTTAATTGAAAATATTTCACCGAAAATTTATACCTGAACCCCCTACTAGTGTGAAACAGGTCCAGGAAAATCACTATATTTAGCTATAACGTTATAGGTAGATCTACCTATATAGCTTTATTTACTTATAAAATATAGCTATATTTAGCTATTTTGGAATAAGTTTCTGTTTTATGAAAAGCAGACAAAAAGTGGCATGTAAATTATGGCTGATATATTTTCTAAAAGGTTTGATAAAAGCAACCTAGGGCATAGACAGTAAAAACATTGCCTCTTTTAAACAGGTTGGGCACAGCCTACAAAATAGTACTTTATCCCCCGTTTGGTAGATAATCTACCATATCTGTAACGAATTTTACTAACCAAATGGGGGACAAAATTGGTTGTGTTTAATTCCATAGAGTGGAGTGGAATTTCGCATAATTTTAAACCATGTGGAATAAAATATAGATATTTATCGGTGTTCTGGGTGAAAAAAATCAAAAATTCTATGTGCAATTTTTTGCGCAGAGTCGTTAAAAAATTTGACAAAAAACGTAGCTTATGTAAACAAGTGCAATGTTTCTCCATTTTTTACTTTAAAAGAAAATTCTCTCCTTCTCCAACGATGCTGCACCTGTCAATCATGTCCTTTACTTTCTATTTCAATTATCCGGGCCAGCAATCAATTAGTGCAAACCAATCAAAACGATGATCTTTTTTAAACCTGATGAAAAGTCGGATTTAACTACGGAGGCACATTTGTGTTAATTTCTAACTAGGAAATCAGAAGAAAAATAAGTTTTGCCTTTATTTCTTTTTATTTTGAGCACAATGGCTTTGTTCTTCATAGAAATAGTAAATGCAGTTGGAGTATGACATAATTATTGTTTTAAAACGATGTACTTGGAACAAAAACAAGAATAATGGCAAAAGTCATTTTGTACATCTTTTATTGAATGTTATTTTTCGAATTTATTAAATTCACCAGTAATATGCATATTAAACCCCAAAAGATCGCATGGAATCTGCAACTTCATCCTAAAAGAAAAATAACAACAAATATTAAGTACAACTCTGGAAAAAATTAACTTTATATAGCAGGAAGTGCCCACAATACCGGTAAGGCATGAGGAGCTCGTGTTGAACAGGATTTTATGGAGATAAACATTGACGAAGATCCAAAAAGAATTTGAAAGTTAACTCATCAAGAGTTAAATCACTGTATAAAATTGGGTTTTTATCCAACAAGACACAATAAAGATTTTTTTTGATCGTTTGATCAAGAAGTTCGGCTGTTACAGACAACTATGGGTATTGTTTTTACGAAGTTACGGAGAAATTACACATAGAAATTCGACCGATTTATGTTAATTGTACGAGGAATATGTTCACTAAAATCCCCCATTGCCTGAATAAATGCGCTTTTGTTTTATTTTAATAAAAATTGCAATAGAATAAAAAAGTCCCCCATTTGGTTAGTAAAATTCGTTACCGATATGGTAGATTATCTACCAAACGGGGGATAAAGTACCATTTGGTAGGCTATATGCCCAACCTGTTAAACACTTTTTAACCGAAAAAATGTATCTCTATTGTTTGGATAGCTGAAGTGCGGTGAGGCATGACTAAGTGTGATTGCCTTGCATTGTTCTCAATTATTACCAATCAATTATCTTGTAGACCAAAACTGCTTTTCTTTGTTAAAGTGGTTTATTCCTCACAGATTAACTGTTATACATAGCCCCAAAACTTTTAGATCTTTGATTGCAATTACACAAAAGGAGAAACATTCTTGTAAGTGGGTTTTTGGTGAATTGTTTTCAGTCCATTTCAAAGTTGAAAACTAATACTGCTTCATTATGCGACTTTTTGTCTGCTTTTCATAAAACAGAAATTTACTCTGAAATAGCTAAATATAGCTATATTATATAGGTAAATAAAGCTATATAGGTAGATTTACCTATATAGCTAAATATAGTGATTTTCCTGGACCTGTGAAACAGAAAACAGGTGCCCCTTTTTCTGTTGATGAACTTGATTTCTTTCATTCAAAAGATATAGAAGTGCTAATGGTGCTTTTATGATTATTTTATTTAATATCCTAATTTATTTATGGGAAATTCAAATTTTATATTTAAATAATTCTGGAGTTTATTTTACAGTATCAGCAAAATCAGCATGTGAACTTTATCGTGCCACGATGACTGTATAACATCACCGGTGAACAATGGAGTATGATGATAATTTCGATGATTATTATGATGATGCCAACATTTATGATGAAGAGGATTTGGAGAAAATGTTGGCAGGTTATACAGACTTTGATTACGGTGATGAAATGGAGTATGCTCGGATTTCTTTTATGGATCTGGCCGAGAATTGTCTGTACCCTACCTTACAGCAAACAATTCATATGTTGGCTCCGCTGTATGTTTTGTGTATCACAACTAGGATTGTTTGTGTGGTGGGATATTCAGGTAATTTAAGATTGTGGAACTTTCATTCAATAAGAATTGTTTTGATACATTAATTCTTTTTAATTAGCAATTACCAATAAAAAGCAAAAAACATGAATGGCTAGAAATTAGTGTATGCTTTCATTGGCAGTATATTAATTGAAAGAAAACAATTTATCATACTGAGTTGCATGGGTTTTTTTTACCTTCCAAGTCAATATTTTGATCAACTGATTAATGAGTTGTAATGTTGTTTTTTTTTATTTTGGCCCCTAGATTGAATTTATGAAACTTTTATGCCCCCCTTCGAAGAAGAGAGGGCATATTGCTTTGCTGCTGTCTGTCGGTATGTAGGTCTGTCGGTCCATTTAGTTTCCGTTCATTTTCTTCACAACCGTTGCACATACTGAAATGAAATTTGGTATACAGATTTTTCAGCTGAATATCTAGGTCAAGTTCTGTTTTGGGTACGATCGCGCCCTTTCTGTTAGATTTATGCCCCTTGGACTTAGAAAAATTCCACTAATTTGCAGTTTCTGTTCATTTTCTTTGAGAGGTTTCACATATTGAAATGAAATTTAGTATACAGGTTTATTAGGCGAATATTTAGGTCGAGTTTTGTTTGACAGAGTTATGCCTCTTGGACTTAGAAAAATTCCACTCATTTGCAGTTTCCGTGCATTTTCTTTACAGAGGTTGCACATATTGAAATGAAATTTAGTATACAGATTTTTTCAGCTGAATATCTAGGTCAAGTTTTGCTTTGGGTACGATTGCACCTTTTTCGTTAGAGTTATGCCCCTTGGACTTAGAAAAAATCCAATTTGGAGGGAGGGGAGTATAAGTGTTTTACAAACATCTCTTGTAAAAATTTGGAATTGTAATATTGTCTTTCAGTTGTAGACTTTGTTATTCTTGTTATTTTAAATTTTGATAGATACAGAAGACCATCCCCTTCCCCGGTGGTTACTTAATATCTGCATTAGTCTAGGGGGGCTGTTAGCTCTCTACATGTTTTTTGGTAACAACATTGTCTATCTGCTTGTCTGTGCTGTGTCTGTGTACGTAATCCTGCTCGTTACATCATGGAAGCTTCAGAACATAGCAGGAGTGACAGTGGCAGCTTATATCTTCCTTTTCATTGTGATATGGTAAGTCACTGATGATGACAAAGCAATCTACTATACCTCTACTGGTTTTCACTTGAAAAAAATTAATTCATAAGATTGAATAATTTCCTGAAAGAAACTGGACGGCTTAATACCCAAAATTTTTTAAAAGGTGTAAGATACTTATCTGAAGCTACATGCTTATACATGTATATATTTATTTTCTGTTTTTAGGTCACCTGAGTAACTCAGGTGACCTATTGCTATCTGTTTTCGTCCATCGTCGTCCGTCGTGCATCGTCCATCGTCCATCGTGTGTCGTGTGTTAACATTTGAACATTTTCAGCTTCTTCTCTGAAACCACTAAACCAATTTCAACCAAATTTGGTATACAGCATCTTTAGGTGAAGGGGAACAAAATTTTGAATTTCATGGTCCCCGCCCTCCTGGGGCCTGAGGGATGGGGCCAAAACCACAAAAATTATTGCAATTTTTAAAAATCTTCTTCTTTACTCCTGGACATCAAGCAGGCAAATTGTTGGCATGAATGTAATGAGCATTGAGTCCTTTACCAAAATTGTGAAATTTATGGCCCGGGGGTCAGGGGTTCTAGTGCTAGGGCGGGGCTATATAGATAATATAGTGAAAATGCATTATTTCTTTGAAAAACTTCTTCTCTGCTCCTGGGTATTAAATAAACTAACTAAGTACATAGTTATGATGAGCAAGAGTCCCTCTTCCAGATTTATATATTTTATGGCCTCAGGGTCAGGGGTTCTGGTGTTAGGGCGGGGCTCTATTGATTATACAGTGAAAATGCATTAATTCTTTGAAAATCCTCTTCTCTGCTTCTGAGTATTAAATAAAGTAACTAAGCACATCGTTATGATGAGCAGGAGTGCCTCTTCCATAATATTTAATTTTATGGCCCCAGGGTTTGGGGTTCTAGTGTTAGGGCAGGATTCTGTTGATTATATAATTATATAGTAAAAATACATTAATTTTTTGAAAATATATTCCTTTGCTTCATAGTTTTATGCCAATGATCCAAGTATATATATTTATGATGAAGAACGGTGCATCTAGCAAAGTGGTTTTTTTTATGCCCCCTGGGCCCGAGGGGGGGGGGGGTACATAATCTGAAAATAAATTAATGCTTTGAAATCTGCTCTTTGGTATTAATCAACCATTTTATGATAAAATTTGCAAAATTTTGAAATATGTTTTCAATGGGTCAGTGTGATGCACAACTGGGTATAAAGTGGAAGTGCATTTTCTCTTTGTTACTCTGATCTACCTCTGGGTATTAAGTAAATAGAGAAAGCATGCTAAGTTAATAATAATGATAAGCAATGGTGCCTCTTTCAAATTTGTGAATTGTGAATTTCATGGCCTCTGGTTTAAAACACGAACCAAATTTAATTGTTTGAAAGTTGTTACAGAATACTCAGGCGACCTATAAGGCCCCTGGGCCTCTTGTTTAATTTATTACAGTGAGTTGTTTGTTGTGGATGAAAAAATCTGGCACAGTATTAGAGGTAAGGCTTGGTGATGTTAGTGGATGCTTTCTATTAAAAAGAATAAAACTTAATTTTAAATTTGTGTTATTAACTTTCCCCTTTCAGCATGACAACCTATCTGTATATGTTTATTGCATTTGAAATCAACATTTCCATTAGGAAGTTTAAAAGTTAGAGGTTCCCCGACTGTCTTGTTAGTCATATATTGATATTTGGCATTAATGACTTTATTAGAGCCAGTTGTCTTTTTTGCTATGCACTATGCAAGCACTAGTTTATGTTTGCTTCTGGATTGCAAGTTTCTCATAAACTGGCTGAAATGTCAAATGCATTTTCCAGTACATGTACAAAAGTTGTAACGGTTCTATATATATACAAAATCAATGTAAACTTGTATTCCAGGTGATCCCTGTAATTTTATATTTCAGGTGCACAGATAATGCTGTCTATGAAACTTATAGGCCTTGGTTTTGACATCACATCAGGAGTTACACCTCTGCCTGCCTTTACAGATTACATGGCCTACATTTTTTGTGCTGGAAATGTTATCTTTGGGCCTTGGATGTCATTTCAAGACTTTAAAAGTATCTACTCCACAAGTTTATCAAAGTGCCTTGTAAGTTTTGAGAAAAATTAGGTGCTCCATTAAAGTCTTATTGGTCTGAGAGTTCTCTAAACTGTAAACTAAAGTTTTGTTTTGAAAAAAAATGTAAAGTTGTAAATTGGTAAAAAGTGGAAGATGAATTAGATTCTTATAAATAATCATAAGCTTTGTATTGATAATATGCATGCATATACATACATATATATTATATATAAGAGGATTATTTTCGTAGTTTTCATTGGCTGAAAGGACGTCACGTGACATTCCTCCTTTTGCAATAGCGACGCGAAAGCGCATCCGCGAAAAATGATATCGCACGACACGCCGTTCGGTTATACTGAAGTTACGTAGAACGTGACGTCATAATATAAGAAGCGTGAATTTAACCATTGTGACGTAATGACAGCCAAGTCCGTTTTGTTAGGACTGTGTCAGTACATTCACTTTGAGTGATTATATAATATAACTATTATGGACTTCAGTGAACGGTCAATATGTGGTTATAAGGACTCATGGCAATCGATATTGACCTCAGACACAGAAAATGATAGCGACCTCGCAGGCTCGGTCGCTATCACTTTCTGTGTCTTCGGTCAATATCAATTGCCATGAGTCCTTATAACCACATATCGACCTACACTGAAGTCCATAATTGTATATATCACTTTGTATTGATAATATGCATGCATATACATACATGTATGTAACACTAACAGTTTTTAACACACACACACACACCAGCACCTGGATCTTTAAAAAAATATTTAAAGTCAGATTTAGATGAAGTAACATACAGATAATTTGTAAAAAAAGCAAAAAAAAAAAAAAAAAAACAACAACAACAAACAGTTATAGGGTGACCAAACTTCTGTGGTAAAAATGTAAGTCTTTTCTCTACAGGAGTCGTTTCTGCTAAAGTCCTCATTCCTCCCTAAATTCATACATATATTTTTTTGTCATTAGGATGTAGATTGGATGACTAAAGTGATGAAATCCAGTTTGTTTTCTGTGTTCTGTCTTTCCTTCTCGACGTGTTTTGGATCCTGGATCATTCTAGACAGTAATTACAAGTAAGTCTCTCCTAAAAACATATTGTTCTTGTATGTTCAGTTCATCATGAGATGTTTTGTTCCATTGACACTCATGTTAAAAAAGTTGTGTAGATTTTGGCAATTATTTGGTCACTAATACATGTAATAAAAATAAATTTTTTAGATGAAGAAATTTCCTAACTGGCAACACAGCCGTTCCCCAGATTACCTTAATATTCATTTGTTCATGTGTTTATCTATAATGAACCATGGCAATACTCGTGCATTTTGTGTTTGTTTGTAGGTGGGTACGTGCTTACAGAGATGCCCAATCCTTCAGATTCAGCCATTATTTTGTATGTTTTGTCTCGGAGACCACCATAGCTCTATCTGGAATTAACCCCAGTGAGATCGACTAGTGAGTATTTTTCCAACTCAGTGAGATCGACTAGTGAGTATTTTTCGAACTCAGTGAGATTGACTAGTGAGTATTTGTCCAACTCAGTGAGATTGACTAGTGAGTATTTGTCCAACTCATTAAGATTGACTAGTGAATATTTATCCAACTTAGTGTGATAGACTAGTGAGTATTTGTCAAACCCTGTAAGATCTACTAGTGAGTTCTTATACGGCCGTCTTAAGACGGGACGTATTATGTTATAGGCTTCATGTCCGTCCGTCTGTCCGTCTGTCCATTCGTGTCCGGCTCATAACTTCAATACTATTAGGCTTAGGACTATCAAACTTTGTCAACTGATACTACTTGGGTAGACGGTGTGTCGTGCACAAAAAGTAGGTCGCTCTGACCTTTAATAAAGATGCTATGGCCAAATATGGAAAAAACCTGTCCTGCTCATAACTAGAAAACTATTAGACCTAGAGCTATCAAACTTGGCAAAAGTATACATCTTAGGTAGAAGGTGTGTCGCGACCTATTTCAAGGTCACTGTGACCTTTAATTTTAGTGAAATTTTTTTAAAAACTAAGTTTTTTAAATTTTAAATTTCATAATCCTAAAAATGTAAAAAATAGAGTTGTATCTTTATTAAAAAGTGTTAAATCAAGTAAAAACTTATTTTTTTCATCATATACTTTACAGCAATCTTAAACAAATTTCAATGTAAATGAGAGGAATTCAGTTTGTCCCATGGGCATAATTATCAAGCACTGGTCAAGAAGAATTTTGATAGCAGAAAGTTGCATGTCAAATTAGAGAGAAATTAATGAGTTTAGAGTGAGGAGATAACTAGTAGAGCACTGCTGTTATCTACATCCCTCGGGTATTGGGCAAATGGACATCCATTTAAAAATAGCTCTTGTTGCTAGCCTAAGTTTTAAAATGAATAGCCTAAGATTTAAAATGAATTTGATGAAAAGTAATTAAAACTTATTTGATATTGCATAATAAACTAATAATCTGATATTATATAATATTAATTAATTAAAAACTAATTTTTTGGGGTGGGGTTGAATCAGCATGCCTACTTGTCCATATGTATTAAATATAAAGTTTGTCTGGCATTACATCTAAAAAGAAATCATGGAGTATTTTATATGTTTTAAAAGTGTTTTAGGATAAAAAGTGCAGATCCATTACTATTAAGGGAGTAATGAATAGACAAGCATCCAGTCAAAGATTAATTAATGAGTTCAATGTAGGAAGGCTATCAGATCATTAAAAGCGCTGCCTTATCTGTATCCTTTGGGGATTAGACAGAAGAACTGCTGGTCAGTTTATAGCATATATCATTTGATGGCCAGCCTTTCTTTTCAAAATTGATTTGGCATAGATTAAGTTGTTAAGACTAATTTGATATTGTTTATTATGATGGCCGGCATTTAACAAAGTCTAACACAAATAGTATAGAAATCTATCAGTTATGTAATATTTGTTATAATTATGCCTATATATACAGCACAGGGGATGGATAAAGAAATATTTTTTTTAAAAAATGGAAAAATCATTGAAATCTTAGAATTAAGGTTGACATGATTTTCTTGCACTCTAAACTGTTAAAGATAATTGGGTAATTTTTTGACGGGCGTATCATGCTGTGGCGTGGCACTTTATTGTCAGAGTCATCATCTTCTTTTGCGATTTAACAAGTGAATACAAATTATATTGAATGGCAGCATCATGCTTTTCAATAAACAGTATATTACCTAGGTTAAAAAGAACTTCAGTTCATGTTATTATTTTGAATATACAAACGTAAAATCTTCATGAATATTTGTTAATTTCAGTGGTGTGACTGTCACGCGACCATTATACGTTGAATTTCCAAGATCTCTAGTTGAAGTCGTAACTAATTGGAATTTACCTATGCATAATTGGTTGAAAAACTGTAAGTTTAAAAGTTTTTTTTTACATGTACATTTGACCTTTATCTATCTTTAAGAATTGTGTGTCTCTGTAAATGTTAAAGATGACTATTTACATATATTACGTTTTTGTTTCTTTAGATGTGTTCAAAACAGCCCGTCCATATGGGACATTTTTAGCCGTCACTTTGACCTACGTAGCCAGCAGTCTGCTTCATGTGAGTCTCACATAATCATCCTGGGGATTGTTTTAAACTATTCCAAAAAAGTATTTGAAATAGAAAATAGGACCTATGTTCTTTAGGTTTCATCAATTTTCTTTTTTATATTACAGGGCCTTAATTTTCAGTTAGCAGCAGTTCTATTATCACTGGGGTTCTATTCCTATGTTGAAATGGGTAAGATGCTGATAATTTTGAAAATGACAAGGTATTTTTTATGTAACTCCTTAAATTTTAAAATATTTTTATAAAAAAATGTATATAACTACAATGTAACATTCAGTAATGCAGTGCATTCTGTTTGAGAAGTCGGTGAACATTTATAAAGTCCTTCAATGAATAGGATGCTAAAACTCATTGACCATTTATTTAAAACAGGCATGTGCTTGTTGAGGTAATTTTTAAGAAGATATCCTATTAAGTTGATATGATTATGCTATACGTGTCTTCAGTATTTAGGAGGAAGTTGGCCCGGGTATTTGATGCCTGTTTGGAGGCGCGGTCCTGTAGAGATAACTGTCCTCACACCTACAAACAAGTAAGAATTCTTTTTTTAAATTAAAGATGAAATTCAATAACACTTATACTAAATACTCTACTTGTTCATAAATTAGTGTCTTCAAAATTTAGCGGAATCACCAGGTATTAAGTTATTGGGGTATTCATGAATTAAGCTTTATATACTAAAAGCACCATATATTTTATTTATATAATAATTTCTTAGCATGAATTAGTGCCAGAGTCCCTAAAATATGAAGCCTGCTTTTTGTGGTAGTACATACTGTACAGTACATCCTAAATATAATTGAATAACATTTGGGATATATTTCATTGACTGTTATTTTAATTGAATAACATTTGGGATATATTTCATTGACTGTTATTTTAATATTTACAGAACCATCCGTTTGTGTGGATTACAAACCTTTGTTTTGGATGTGTAGCCGTCTTTCATTTAGCGTACCTGGGTCTGATGTTTGACAGCAGTGCTGAGGCTGAAAAGGTCAGGGGTCAAACTACTGTTCATTCATTTCCAGATAAACAATTCCTTAGGAATTCTTTAAATGATAATTTTTCAGTGATAATTTCTGTAATTACAAATTAATTTAAACAATAAAATGCTTTCTTTGATTGTCATTACTGGAATAAATGGAAGCAGCTGTTGCAGAAAAAATTAATACATAACCCGCATAAGTGGGTTATGTAAATTTTTTCTGCAATAGCTGCGATCTTTAATTCCAGTAATAATAAAGAAAGAAAGAAATTTTATTGTGTATATTTATATATGTTTAAATAATCATTTAAAGTTGGATTAAAAAGATGAATTATTGTACCAGGGGTATTAATGATGCGAACGTCTTTACACAATTCATGGATGGAACAGCCACTGATCAACAAATCTGAACAGGTGACTTGCCGACTGTAGTTCATGCAGTGATTAACGCAATGGGTTTTCTTAAGAAATAAATGAGAAAAAATATTCAGTGGATGTAAATATTCTGTGATTACAAATTTTAAAGTAATGCAAGATAACCATGTGATGTTCATTCTATGAAAGTATCTGTGATAAGAAAACAATGGGGTGCATTAAATGCAAAGGGTATAACTCAGTGCAGATATCAGAGAAAACTAACTTGTCATGTGGCAATTTACTTGCAAGCCATGTTCAGTTTCAATTCCCATTACATGAACTTGTCACTTTATCTTCAGTGATCAGAATAAGTGTCTCACCATGTAACATTGTAATTTCATGTTTTATAATATTGTAATGATTTTCTTTACAGGGCTATAACATGTCCCATACACTACAGAAATGGTCCGATCTCGGCTTCCTGAGTCACTGGGTCATATTGGGAACTTACATATTTCACTTAATGGTGTAATAAAGAGGCCTTCTGAAGCTTCCTAGAAGATAAACAATGTACAAAGAAATTCAAAATGTGCTATCATAATGTGCAATTTGATACATGCTTTAATGCTGTTGTTGCAATACCACCCCAGCCCTGTGGTGTTCATTGTTTGCTATGATATTTACATGTTTTGCATGGTGTATACTGTAAATGTATTACATTTAGTGGTGTATTCTTTTTAACGATTTTGGCGGAAAGCAGAGTCCACTAATTCAAGTACATCGCTAAATGTCTTGTTTATTAACTTTTATAACCAGCAACTTCAGACAGCGCTAAATCAAATCTACCCTTATTTGTTGAAAAATGAATTTCCGCCAAATATCGTACAAGCCAAATGTAATACATTTACAGTATTTGCACATATTTACATAAGAAAAATTATTAATGTTAGTTATGGACTTATGGTCATATCCTCTGTGTGATTAGTGAATAATATGATGCTAGGTTTTATTTTGATAACAAGGTCAACATTGAATACAGTACTCTTGGGAATCAAAAAATTCAGATATCTTCAGCAATGTTCTTTGAACCCCCAGTATTATATTTTATATACATCTTGAATGGTTTTTGAAATTGTTAGTTTGCATTTTCTCCAATTTGGAAAGAGTAGTCATTTTTGTCAAGATTGTGGGCATTTGTACTAATTAGTACATCATCTTGATATCATTATGAACTGTACTTTTGTTCATCTATAGTTTCTATTTGACAAATGTTAAAATGAAAGGGTGTATTTTACCCTTACTTATATTGTTTTAATTAATCCTAAATCCATAGAGTGTATAGAGTACCATGTAAATGTATTGAAGAGTTTTCTTTTTTGTGAAAGTTTTACAGAGTGATGGTAAGATAGAGAGCTATATATAGATACTGGTACATGTATGTGAAGGTCACTGTAACTTCTATTACTAAGAATATGAATGCCATCTTGAGCCTATAAATCTGATGGAGGACCTTTGTAGGAGAAGCTATGTCCCCCTGTACTGTCTGTTACCACTACCAATAACATCTCTATTGCGGTCTCTGTGATGTAGTGAGGTATTCTATACAGTCCCTGACCTGTGTTGTTGTGGTGCTGTATGGTCTGTATGAGTTTTCCTGTGTCAGTGTAACAGTTTATCTGGCCTGTCTCTGTATCATCATTATACATTCCGACCAGCTGGTCTCCAGTGGAGGTGGAGCTGTAGACACTCCGTGGTCTCCATGGTGATGTGTTGTATGGTATCACTGTGGTCTTTACTTTATCTGTAGACAGTTTAATGATGTTATAGTTACTGTCTATATAAATTATATCGCTTTCTTGTGTCACAGTGTGTACATCAACACCATAATCACTTAAATCTGTCACACGATCTAGAATATCACCTTCTACGTTTGGTAAGATGAGATTGTTAAGTTCACAGATCCAGACCCGGTCTGATGTCACGTGGGTAATGTGATTACCCAGTCCAACACCAGTCACTCTGACAGATTTCTGTAACACCAGTCTATACATTACTGACATCAGACATCTATTTCTTCTTTTTCCTGTGGTTTCAAAATCCTGTGTTGATTTCCTTCAGTCAGGAAGGTCTCTCTGTAAATTACAACATTGTATTATAATCTTTGACAGCAATAACAATCCTCTCTCTATACTTAACTATTGTATCATTGTCAGATTCAATGTTATGGTTTTACAAAAAAAAAATAGAATTAAGACGCAAATATAAACATATCATATAATATAACAGTAAAACTCGGTTATAATGAAGTCACAGACTCTTTTTGGCTTCAGGTGACACTCTTTGCTTGGAATAAGCATTTGTTCTACAAAATGGTTTTACAAAAAAATAAAGAGAGTTAAGACGCATATATAAACATATCATATAATATAACAGTAAAATTCGGTTATAATGAAGTCACAGACTCTTTTTGGCTTCAGGTGACACTCTTTGCTTGGAATAAGCATTTGTTCTACAAAATGGTTTTACAAAAAAATTAATAGAATTAAGACGCATATATAAACATATCGTATAATATAACAGTAAAATTCGGTTATAATGAAGTCACAGACTCTTTTTGGCTTCAGGTGACACTCTTTGCTTGGAATAAGCATTTGTTCTACAAAATGGTTTTACAAAAAAATAAATAGAATTAAGACGTATATATATAAACATATCATATAATATAACAGTAAAACTCGGTTATAATGAAGTCACAAACTCTTTTTGGCTTCAGGTGACACTCTTTGCTTGGAATAAGCATTTGTTCTCTTTTAACACAGAAAGATGTTTTCTGACGTGAATATATAACCAGATTTTTAAAATCATGATATTGCCAATCATGTTGTATATTCATCATTTCCTGCTTTGTTGTTTGATGGCATCTTTTCTACATTTGAAAGACTAAAAAGGGGTATATTTTTATACAGTTATTGACTGGGTATGAGGGCAACATATAATTTGTTGGACCTGAAGGTGAAAATGTTGCCTGAGGCCGCAGACCAAGGGCAACATTTTCACTTTCAGGTCCAACAAATCATATGTTGCCCGAATCCCAGTCTATAACTGTTTTGTTATACCCTTCACTGCTCACTTAAGATTGATCAATTTAATCAATACACTCTATATTATATAAATATTGCATGTAGTTGAGTGTAACATTGAAAATTTTCAGCCCAAGAAAACCATTGTTATATATATATTTTATCACAAAAATAATTTATCACAAAAAAACTCTTCCCTTCTTCCTTACCTTGCTGTTAGCAACAACTCTTGTAGCTCTTAATTTACTTCGGCTATTTTTGCGCCGCCGATATTGAACGATGATTAATTACTTGCGACGTAACAGATGAGTGACGTTGCGCTCTAACAGTTCTTATGTAAGACCGGTCAATATAGTGAAATTGTTAGACTGATGTAATGAACAGTTCTTTTGTTGGACTTTTTATAAGTAATAAATATATAGAATGATATTTATAAGAGTATAACAATATATTAAATACACAAGCTTGCATTAGTCGTTGCATATTTATCTCTGCCAATATTTATATAATATTGTAAAATTATTTAGGTTCATTTGCAAGTTCATGTCATAAAGTATATGCATATATTTTTCTGCATGCATGAAAATGTATTTTGATATCTTACATTTATCGCTCCATAGTGGAGTTAAAACTGGGTAGTGTAATTTGGGTTGTAATAGTACTTAGTCTAGTCAAAATAGTATTTTAATTTAAGATTGTTGTGTATTTAGTACTATTTCCTTATCATAGTTTATTAGTGCTCAACAAATGTTACATGTAGTCGTTCAACTTTCATTTGTCTTAATAAAAACAATAATCACATATATAGTGGACAAGATATCAAAGTATGATGTTTAAGTTAAGCTTATATCCACTGAATATTTTCTCCTTTATTTCTTAAGAAAACTTATTGCGTTAATCACTGCATGAACTACAGTAGGCATGTCGCCTGTACAGATTTCTTGATCAGTGGCTGTTCCATCAATGAAATGTATAAAGACGTTCGCATCATTAATACAATAATTAATCTTTTTAATCCTACTTTAAATGATTATTTAAACAGATATAAATATAAAAAATAAAATGTCTTTCTTTCTTTGTTATTACTGGAATAAACGGTCGTATAGCTATTGCAGAAAAAATTTACATAACCTGCATAAGCGAGTTATGTATTTTTTCTGAAACAGCTGCTTCCGTTAATTACAGTACTAGTAATAACAAACAAACAAAGCAATTTATTGTTTAAATTAAAATCAAAACAAAGTTTTATTTTGACATTTAAATGTTGATCACAAACAAAGCAATTTATTGTTTAAATTAAAATCAAAACAAAGTTTTATTTTGACATTTAAATGTTGATCACAAACAAAGCAATTTATTGTTTAAATTAAAATCAAAACAAAGTTTTATTTTGACATTTAAATGTTGATCAGAAGCTTCTCTGTAAAAATACCTGTACGATTTTTTTGTCAATTTTTAATATACAAGTTCTCATTCAGACTTGTTCCATGCAATTAAAATGGTCTCTGTCTTGTTGTGGTGCTTTATTGTTTTTGATATTAACCTACATTATTTTCCAATATTTACAGCTCAAATTGTTTTGCTCTGTATTTATTATTTTATAAGATGTTCTGTTTTGTTAAAATTTACCTTCATTTTATACATGTACTTCACCATATTAATATTAGACCCTGTCATAACACCTACATGTATTTTGAAGACTGTCTCCCCTTCACCAGTCTATAAACCAGGTCCAAAATTTTAGTTATTTATTTACAATGCTAGAATCTCATACCTATAGTTATATGTTGTAAATTCAGTTTTCAGCTTTAAGCTTGTTTGTTAAATCTGCTCCACCGCTTTATAGTGATTGATAAATCTGTTCCATTTTGATAGTGAATTCTGTCCTTATTTGTAATGATATAAATAAATTAGATTTAAACTTTAAATGTGTTTATTTTTGTGCCATTTTGATTGAGTGAAGCATAAAGATTACAAACAGTAATAATGATCAAAAGTTCATGGGAACATTTACAAATCAAAAGCAGAGAAAAACACTTGACTTCTCAAACACATCAGATGTGGGATCAGGTGCCATGGAGGAATAAGAATCCCCTGTCTACAGGTCATGATCATTTTGCTGGATACTTTATCTCCTGATTGAACAGAATGAAAGTTTAAGAAGATTCTTTACAAAGTAAGCATTAGTCCCATGCATTGAAACTAAATTTGCATAATGTTACATCCAGGTGATGCTCATTTTGTGTACCAAAATGTTTTGGGTGGAAAATTTTGTCTAGCATAAAGATAATTAATATTTGGCAAAGTGTGGACCCTATAATCCTTGTCTGTCTTAAATTATCGTTTTCAGCACTAAAATGGACATACTATCATGTACATGTATATACACATAATAAACTTGCACACAATTTAGATTTCATCTATATTTATTTGATTTACATAAATATTCTTATTAATAACTAGCAGCACAGTGTTACACTCTCACAGGTTCTGAATATAAAGAAATAACAAACAAGAGATTAAATACACAATATAACAATACACAGTCAAATGAACTCTATACTTAACAATATAAAGAATGGGTATTATTAAGTAGGAGGGTGAATATTCAGGGACACATATCATTGCTGGTGATAAAATATTATTGATAAAAGCTACAAATCAGTTATATGAAATATTATACAAGCTAATACATCTAATCTTCATGATTTGAGAGATCTTTTTGTAATCCGTTATTTTTTTTTTTTTAAGATCTTTTTAAAATCTTTATCATATAAACATTGCAAATGTATGGATTTATGAGACATACAAATTACAAATTATTAGTAACATTTTATTTATTTCATAGGAAAAAAATCTTTATATACCTTTTTCATAATTATCCTTATTTTGTGAAAGTTAGAGAAATTAAAGCACAAGACTGCTTAATTTAGTGTTAATGTGGATATGGGACATTTGGTGCTCTCTGAAATAACCCTATCCATAGTTCAATACTAAGATAAATTACATGTTATACATGTTCATAAGCATGAATTAGCTAAAAAAAATTATATAAACATACAATGAAAGCAAAATGTACAAAATTCATGATTAGCCCAACAAACAAGACAAACATATTTATCATGCCATTAAAATGTACAAGTATAATGGCTGCACAAATCCATCTCCATACACAATCTGTTAGTGCAATACAGACAATAACTTAAGTGGTTTATAAAAATTATGCAAACAATTGCAACACTGACAGAAATTTCAACAGATATACAATACTATCTTTGTTTCTTAATAACAAAAGTCCACAAAACCCAATACCATTCCAATCTTCAGTGTTTTCCACAAGACATAGACATTTACATGTACAAGAATTGTAATAATTTATAGTTTTCTCAAACTGATATGTTGGAATGCATTCAAGCTGATTTCTAATTATAAATATTTGTAGGAAAAATTCTCAAATTTAAAAATACATGGACAGAGTGAGAATCTGAGATTCCTCCCCTCTCAAACATTAAACAATACAAGATCATCTACAGGTCACAACATCAAGCTAACACCCCCTCCCTATTTCCCATACATCATACATTAAACACTCAACTGAAGGTCAAACCTTCAAGCTATCTAATGTTTCTGATCAATTGTTCTATAAAAATTCATGATCAATACAATCTTAATACACAATTTCATTGTTTTTTGGTGATACATGGTGGTACATTATATAATTTTACAAATGTTTATTTCACTGTGACATACATTACAAACACATCATAATAATAGAGAGATATATAAGACATACAATGTCATCAAGAAAAATAATACTTCTATCATCCCCCCCCCAAAAAAAATAATAATAATTTTTGAATTCTACCCTGAAAAGAATTAAAAATATATGAATAATAGCTAAAATATAATTAATATTAAAGATCTCAGATAAAGGTACACATACATGTAAAGGAACTGAAATTTAAAGAGGCATGGACACACTTTGCATTGCCATTTATTTTTTTTAATCTAAATTTTATATTAATTGGAAAAAAATAGCTTCAGTAGAATGATTTGAAGTTCAACTTTAAAAACATGAAAATTCTTATACATGAATTACAATTTTTAAATATCTACACCTAGGTTTGCATATATGGGCATGTGTTTTGTTATTAATACATTTACATTTTTTCAATTTGATAACATTACATGCATCACTGAACACTAACAGTTAATACTTGTGCATTGGTTTTGTTTTGTTCTTGAAATATTATTTTTAAATTTTATTCATAACATATCATTATTTAACATGAATTACTTGTCAATTAAAGAATTTCTCACATTTAAAAACACGTATAGGCTATGCCTGCTTTTCCAAAACATTTATGTAATTGTTACATAATAAAATCTGTTCAAATCAAATGAAAACTGTGACCATGCCCCTTTAAATAAATCATGAAATTTAGATAAATAACATTATTGTGTTCTTTAATGGTCCGAAATAAATTGATCGTATCAGACCTGATTTTTTGGGAAAAAAATTGAAGAGCTCAATTTCTATCCAATTTTTAAAATGTCTTTTAAAATAACAGTTCTTTACACCTTAATTCCATAAAGTTGATACATATAAATACATTTATCTAAAATAAAACATCTTATTTTTATTAGTACCATAATATTATATAAAACCTTTTATAAATTCCATGTCAATTAAATAAATGTTTGTCATAATTGAAAATGGTACATGAACACATATATCACATTCAAAAGCTTTGTACGATTTGAATTAAATTAATGATATATTGCCTATATTTTTCCCCTTCATCTCCAAACTTTGAAAAAAAAAAATTGGTTGCCAAAGATCAAACAAACATGAGTCCGTCCATTGCTGTATGACACGTGTCTGCGGTTTAGGCCATGTCCTCTTTCACTAAAATCTCCACTTCCTGGGGGAGAGGCTTGTTAGTTTCCAGGGCCTGAGACTGCTGGGCTGAACTGTAAGAATAAAACACACTACAGCCTGATTCTACTGAAACTTCACTGACATTTATGCCATATAATACAAGAAATCAATGGCATTTTTAATTGCTCATTTATTTTGATTTAGCACTTAAAAAAAATTAAGTCATAAATTAATGTTAATATATTTTCTATTTATTAAGTTGTTTAAATATTAAACATATTAACATACTACAATACTCTACTATTATTAAAGATAAGCAGGGCATAAATCTTAAAAAATACTAAAAACATAATAAAATCATATAATTTTTTTATTTATTGCCTGAAGTAAAATAAAGATAATAAATATTTTTTTTAAACAAGTATTCTTATAAACCTTATCCCTACCCTAACATTTTATCCCTGGAGTAAAAAATCATCACTTCAGGAGAAACAGAAAAAAAGTTTGTTAGATACACATAAACATGCAATTTAAAATCTTGAGTTCAGTATTTGTAATACACACCCTAAAATACCAATTCTAGCAAACCAGTGGATTTCATTTACAGAGCAATAACTGTAGTTTACCCAGCTCAAAAAATAGTACATGCAATTTTTTAAAAATCAAATTACTACCCCTAAATTTTTTTGTAGGTAGTAATTTTTTTTGCAATGAGACGTAGTATATGTTTGTGTGTGTTTCCCATTTACCATGATACCTTGCATTCAAGCCTTGTTTATGTGACTAACTCTTCTGAAATCAGCAGCAAAAGAAACAAAATGACTATTTCTGACTGAACAAGACTGTTGCAATACATTAGAGCAAAGGAATATGAAGGGTGTACAAGTATCAGTAAATAGAGAAACTTTGATTACTCATGAGAAATTGCATCTTGTTGAATGCTATACATGAAACTGTTTCATAATTATCTAAAGGCATCCAGGCTTGTTTTATCTTGCTTCAATTTAATGAAAGAACTAATTTGGAGTAATGATTTTCTTCTAGAATCATATCTGTATGCATTAATAAATAAAAATCCTATTGACAGAGATAGAATTTTTCAAATTGCTGACCATTTAAAACTGGTATACCCTAAAATCTTGAAAATAAGCCACGGCTTATTATAAGTTTTGGTAAGAAAGTGGGGGCTTATTTTCAAGACCGGCTTATTTTCAAATTGCGGCTTATTATCAATGCAAAAAAACTGGTAAGAGAAGAGAATCATTGAATAAAGTGTAATCGATAGAATAAGAACTACTTGTTCGATCTAAAATTAAATAGTCATAAATATAATAAAATAAAATAATTACAATAATACTTTGTTCAGTATCTTGCGTGTAGAAAAAAATACTTTAAAAGTGGACAGAATGACTTTCGCTCGTCAAAGTTTTCTCTCGTCAATTTTGTATTCATTGGCGATTCCCGGTGTACGTTCTTTATGGTCTTAGGTGTAATCAATCGTCTACTTTATATTTTGAGAATGCTGATCCCGAAAAGATAATTTCATTGTATACAGCATATAAATTTACATGAAATATAAACTTGTTTTAAAGAAGTAAAAATAATATATAAGATATCTGCTTGCACTTGAATCACTTGATAAATTAATCAAACACATATTTACACAACTTGATTACATGTATACGGTACATTGAAATGTAATTACTACCAAGCCCTTCCGATCAGCATGTTTCTTGCCTCGGGCAGTATTACCTGACAGTTAAATGCTTTACAAACAATAACTTCTTTTATCCATTTACTTATTTAATTATAAAAACGTTAAACACATCGTTAGCTTGTATAGGTCTAGATGAGATAATTATTGTACTGACAATTTCATGAAAAAAAAATCACAGTGCTGGTTCCGCAATTAATTTTTTTAGCCAGCGTAACATGATTACTGGTTTAAAAAAAAACTTTAAAAAGTACCCTTTATTAGTAATTTTACATAAGTTCATTAGTAGCTACAGACGTAGTTCGTACTATGTTGTCGATACTCGTACTCGTTCGTACTATGTCGTATGCAGAAATTAGTAAAGGTTAAATTATGAATTAAAGAAAGATAACTTTTTTTTTATTTGTCAGAGTTTTTACTCAAATTTTTAAGACGAGGAAATCGTCAAACGTTTAACATCTTTCCTAAATGGCATTATCATGACCGGCTTATTTTCAAAACTGGCTTATTTTCGAGTAATTTTTAATGCAAGAAATAGGTGGCTTATTTTCAAAACCGGCTTATTATTAAATCCGTCTTATTTTCAAGATTTTAGGGTATATATATATATGTATTTCTAAAACTAACAAAAGATCTTGTAGGTGTATTACCCAGCATGCACTTTGTGAGTTTACAATCAAGCCTGGATTATCCCCCTTTGTCTGGTTTGTTGTTCAGCAGAGACGCTGAAAGAACAAAACAAACCAAACATTGCAGAGAGCCAGATGATTACTTTATATCAGATTAATAAGTGTCCTAGTTTAAATATCCATATAATTAGAAAGATTATTAAGTGTCGCTAATCAATTCTCTGTATCTAATGTATATATGCACTGTGTTTATTATTTTAGAACATATGGATTACAACTATTTAGTTCTCTGGACACATGAGAATTCATTTTATAAGGTAAGTCAATAAGTCATCAGAAAGACAAGACATGTACAAGATCTAGATTTAGACAATCACATGGGGTTTTCATTTACTGAATAATATTTATTACAAAATCTTATTAATTATTTAGTCCACAGAAGCTACTACATGAATACCAAGTGGTAAATATCTGCCAAAACAAATTACTGTGTTCAAGAATACATGCACTGTTATATCAAGAATTAATGCAAGTTATAAAAGAATTGTAAACACAAAAGACTAAGAAGATGAAAAAAAACCTAGAGTACAATTAATATGTTATATCCATGAACTTACAAAGTTTGAACATACATGTTATTTTATTTCCCTAACTGCTGACATCAATATTATTTTGTAAAAACCAAACCTACCAGGTAATTTTTCCCCTATATCCAGGTATTCATTTTGTTGAAAAATATATAAGACCCCCCCCCCCCAAGAAAGAAAAATAATCTAAAGTTGGAATCAAATTTACTCTTCTAAGAATACAAATCAAAACATCAAAATATGTTCCAGCAACTTTGTAAATTCACGTACATCTACAGCTGATATGATAAACAGAGAGAGAGAGAGAGAGAGAGCACTACATGCAGACCTGCATGTCAATATAAGCTATAAATAGCCCACTAATCAGACCACGGTACTATAAATAGCCCACTAATCAGATCGCGGTGCTTACCTGTATAACCACTGTTGACAAACGGTAGCTAACATCAGGAACGCCACACAGCACTCAAATATCACCTTCATCTGCAGGTTCTGTTGGCAAAAATAAAAGTATAGTGAATCAATGTAAGATTTTATACAGTAGATTTACTGCTCATTTGGGTTTTCTGTAGGTCCCAGCTAACAGCCAAATTGACCACTTCAATTAATGCAAACGCTGCTTTGAAATATAAATTCATATTTATTTATTAAAATGAATGTAACTAAGATTTATAGAGTTTTGTCATAAATTTTCAACCCAAAGCCTGTTACAATTGATCTCTAATCCTTTACTTGGAAATACAGATAAAATAATTAGGTTACTATACCTGTAATAATATCACAACTACGATCATATTCAATGGGACTCTGAAGAAATTCATGATGGTGGATCGAGCTGAAAATAAAATAAAATATTCCTTCCAATCTCATTCTGATAAATTGGTCAGTTTGAATTAAAACTGGTTTTTTATCATGTAGATAAGGTATTCCTTACGAATGTTAATAAATAGTTGTACATCATGTACTACATGTATAACAAGAGGCCCATGGGCCACATCTCTCACCTGAGAAGCTTTGACCATTCTGTTCTTTACCAGATTTCCCCCTTGTAATACATTAGGAATGCCACACATCATAATTAAGACATTTTGAAATCAACTACCCCAGGATCCTTCCATGTGCAAATAAGTTTCAGCTTTTCTGGCCCAGTGGTTCTTGAGAAGAAGATTTTCAAAGATTTTTCCTATATATTTTTATGTAAAAATCAACCCTTCCCCTGGGGGTCATGATTTGAACAATTTAAAACACATTACCCAAGAATGCTTAACTGTTCAACTTTTCAGCCCAGTGGTTTTTTTTTCAAAGATTTTTGAATATATTTCTATGTAAAACTTTGATTACCAATTGTGGCCCCACCTCCATGATTTAATTTAGAATCCAAAACAAATATTGCCCTTGAAATAAAAAATTTTTCTTATATATTTTATGTTTTGTCCCAAAGAGATTTTTCATAAACATAAAAAACTAAAGAATGCTTACATAAAACTTTTCTGCCCATGAGAAGAAGATTTTCAAAGATTTTTCCTATATATTTCTATGTAAAACTTTGATTCCCCATTGTGGAACCCTGGGGGTCATGATTTTTACAATTTGAAAAACATTACCAGGATGCTTCCACATAAGTTTAATATCTTGAGAAGAAGATTTTCAAAGATTTTTCCTATATGTTTCTATATAAAACTTTGATTCCCCATTGTGGCCCCGCCCTTCCCCCGGGGGTCATGATTTGAACAATTTAATATCTGCACTACCCTAGGATGCTTTCACATAAGTTTCAGATTTTCTGGCCCAGTGGTTCTTGAGAAGAAGATTTTTTAAACCCCACCCTATTTTTGTCTCATCTCATTCTGATTAACTGGTCATTTTAAAATAAAACTGGTTTTAAATAATTTAGAAGATATATTATTTACTGTATTCCTTATAAATGTTAATAATCAGTTGTACATGTATAAATATGGGAAGATATGAATTTTATTCATGACTGTACAACCGTCGGTACATTAATAAGCATGTGTTTAGTAAAATCCAACAAGTTACTTGGACAATTAATTAAATGATAAAGTACTTACTAGGTATATAGTGTTAGTAAGTGATACATTACTTACTATCATCTGGGACATATTTTCCTCTCATCTGCCCTAGAGACGGCCAGAATATACCCACACAACACTCAAATATCAGGAACCCCGAGAAAACGATTATCTGATTCTAAAAACAAACAAATCAAAGGATCACAAAACTATACAAATTTCTCACATATAATCTATCTGGTAAATTGTTCATCATTAACACTACGAATCATATCTAAAAAAAAATTCTTTCTTTTTGCAGCTGCATAAATTTATAGTGGAAATCAGTTTTACTTCAGAAGAAACTACAGTAACTGTGCACTAAGACTTCTACAAGTGATAATAAACCGTCATTTTCATGTTTCTTAGTGTAAATAAGACTTACCCCTTTGAATAAAATAGGTGTGGTGAGTGAGACTGCTGCAGTGAATAAAACAACTCTACAATGGAAAGGAAAATTCATTATTGACGTCTACGTTAAACAATTCGTCATTTCAAGATATAATTTAAAAGTAAGGTACTTGCATCAAATAAAGAATCTACATTTTATGCAGTCTAGAATAAAATAAATATGTGGTAAAACTTTCACTGTCGTTATTACCTACCTCATAAATGACTCCACACTGGTATATTTAGATAAAAGTTTGAAGATGGATGAGCCTATCATTATAGAGACCTGTAATTCAATACATTTATTATAAAAAGTTGTCCGGATCTACATGTACATACATGTAGCAATTCAAATTCATGATTATTCATTTGATTATACATATTATATACTGCTGAGCTTTGATTTTTATTCTCCATGCTGAAGAGCTTTAAATATCTATGTACATGTAATTCATTAACTGATACATGTTTATATGTATACTTGAACCATATGCAGCATTAAAATAGCAATTATCTTCAAATCTTGGTTGAAGAATTTAATGCAAGGGAAGGTGTATTCTGAATCTACCCACCATAAATGCAGCAAAGATGTGACCATGAGGGATGGATTCGTGCTTCTCTGTTGAGCCTGGTTTGGTGTCCGGAGTCAAGGCAGGTGTCCACTCCAACACAAAGATGTACATGGAGCCCTCAAATAGGGACTGAATCAGCCCCAGACATAAGATTTTAGTATCTATAAAACAAACAGGGGACAATTACAGTTCCCTTGTTTTAACTGTACACAGATTTTGTTTTCAGTACACACACTTAAGTCTACCAGGATAATCAAAATATAGAGTCAAATTTTACTATCTCAAACTTGATAGGACTGCATGAGGAAAAACTATGAGAGATCAGTATGACTTTGAGATATCTGTATGACTGGGACATCAAAATTACCAAATCAAATTGACATATCCATGGTTTTCGAGATATTAGTGTTCAGGAGCTCATATAATTTCTGCTGCATAAAATTACAGTTATCACTATTAATGTAAAAAACCCATTACTGTAACAGTATTATTACCATTACGAATGGCTACAAGAGCATTTGTGAAGTTCTGTTTCCAGCTACCAGACTTGTCTCCAAAGTTCTCGCCCCACGTAAACACAATAATGATTGTCATAATGGTCAGGACGGTCAGAGCCACATCAAAGGGAGCCCTGTAAATAGAAAATATAGGTTCAGAACTTACGAATTCATTCATTCTATAATTAAGATCACAGTAAATAAGGCACATGCATAAACACTTTGTACATGCATAAAATCTTACATTACATATATTACATGAAACAGGATCCAAACTTTGAAATTTGGGATGTGTATGTGGTAGTAACTATTGTCAATTTTTCCAAACAAACAATTATAATTAATTGAAATCTTTCTTTTGATATGGGTTGTCTTAATCTAAACTCTGCCTACACAAATCCGAATCTGTCGGCAAAAGTCTGGGCTACCAATCCAGCTAGGATGGCCACCAGGGAATTCCCCAAAACAGCATTGCTAAAAATATTTCCTAGGGATTCCTGGTCAAATCCTCTCTACAAATACAACACCAAAAATCAAATATTCTCATTAGAAACACAATTAAGATACAACCATTATAGCACTACTCAATTACACATAGCGTTAGGGGTTTAATTCCTAGCAGCTAGTACTCAAAATAGCATTGGTTTGGTTCATAGCACTTAGTCTAATGGAAATAATAAACATATGGTTTAAAGAAGTACTCAACATAACATTCATATGGTTTATAACTTAGACATGTTAGAGTAGTCAAAATAACATGGACCAGGTATTAAGGATAATGTATATATGGTTTATGGCTGTACTCAAAATTACATTGATGGGGTATTAGCAGTACTCAAAATAGCATTGGTATGGTTTATAGCACAACAAAAAAAACATAGATATGATTTATAGCAGCTAGTACACTAATTAACATCATGTTTTAAGCGGTAATAAAATATTGTTATTTTTATAGCAGTACTCAAAATCACACTGATACGGGCTTATAGGGCAGTTAAAGCAGTACTCAAAATAACAATAATTTGGTCTGTAACATCTGTTGTGGAATTCTAACTTGATAAGTATAGATATGGATTTTATACACAAACATGTTTTCATCTGACACCATCATGTTATCTAGATTGTCTGCTATCTGATCACTACTGTCTCATACATGTAAGATGAATTGATTTTTTTCATCTATTATTTAATCTAATTTCATGAAAAGAAATGGATATTTCTTTACATGAATGTATAGAAATTAAATTGATAATTTGACTTTTCACACATGCTCAGTCTTTTTTCTTGTAATTTCTTTCAAAGGGAAATTGATAATGTATATGTCCTGTGAAGGACAACTTTATCTTATTTTAAAAATACAAAAGTATAATAAAGTATTTCTCCTAAGAAATGTGATCAGCTGTCTTTTTAAAGAAATAAATTAGATTTTCCTTTTTAGTAACATTTTTATCATGTTTATGTAAAATCCATCCAAAATGGAATGAAATGGCTTCTCATAAAAGATATGGGTATAAACACTCATTTTGATCAGATGGTAAAAATCTTGAATCCACACACCTTGTGATGTTCGTACACCATCCAGGACTCGAAGGCACTGTACAGGATGGAGGTAGCGATGCCTCCCAGAAGTCGACCCAACATCAAGATGTAAAAGTTGTTAAAGTGCTGAAAAATTCACAGAACATTTCACCTGATATTGTGTCAATCATAAGACATTCAGGGAGGAAAAATTGAGGAAGCTCTATCCATGTGCAAAATTGCTGAACTTTACCCCATGATTATTTTTAAACAAATAAATTCACATTTACTGTTCTACATCATGAAAAGTATTTGCAAATATATAAACAACACATAAGCTCTAGTAAAGAGCCCAAGATGAGGCTTATTATTCATGTCAAATTAATAACAATTTCTAGTCTTTGTTACCTTGGTAATGCATGCTCCACCATACAGAAATCCATAGAGAATGCAGTTTGCTCTTCTTCCACTAAAATAGATAAATTAAAGCTTTTAAATAAACATTAGCTTTAAATCAAGACAGTTGTTTGTAAACTGTGATGATGAATTGTTTTAATTTTCCTTAACAAGTCTTGAATGAGATATCTTTATCTAGACCTATAGCATTTTAGTGTAACTATAAGAATAACAATAAATCTTACTATCGATCAGCGAAAGACCCAACGACTGTCCCAAAGATCATACTGGACCCAAACCCCGCCACGAAGAGGACCTCGATCTGATGTGTAGACATGCCGTAACTGTCATAGAGGGCGTAGACGTGGGGGCCCTGTAGCCAGTCTCCCGCTAGAATCCACAAATAGTTCACATATCAATTAATATGTATAAAATGTAACAATGTAGGTAAATCATAATTATCATTGGAATTTTTCATATGAAGATCAACATACCATAATTACTTTCACCATTACATGTACAGTGGACCTTCAGATATCCGGACCCCAGATATCCGGATGCTTCAGTATCCGGACGCTTTTTCATTGGGACGGAATTTTTCAATGTTATATTTTTTTGTTTAACTGGTGATTCAGGTATCCGGACGCTTCACATATCCGGACAAATTGACTGGGAACCTAAGCGTCCGGATAAATGAGGCTCCACTGTACATAAGTAAAAGCGTACTACATTATTCTTATTTTTGAAATGAAATTAAATCAACTGTCAAAATAAAGGTCAGGGTCAAAAAAATTTTGAGTCAGACATGATTATACTTTTTGTAAATTTGTATTTGTTACTGAATTTGATGAAAATTCATGAATTGAACAATATTAATATAATGTTATCTCAATTCAATGCCCTTAATCCAACCTTATCTTAATATCCACTTTTAATCTTTATCAATATGTGTATCTAAAATCTAAATCCTAGCCAATTAACATGTTTACGAAAGTGTCCCCTAGGATATGTGAACTTAATTGTTTTTTTAATATTAACTATTTAATAATATTTTCCCAACTGTTTTGAAGATGCCTATGCAAAGTTCTTTCAAAGAGATCAAAAAGTCTGGTTTTTAAAACAAGGCAAAACACTTAAATTTTACATCCAACATCCAACAATTATTTAGGCTCTGTATAGTGTTAGTCAGTATACAGAAATGCAGTGCAATGATTTTCCCTCTATTATCATGATTATAATAAAGGTTACATGACTCTGTCAATGGGTTACATATCAGTACATCTACAGGTACATACATTAGACAAGTTATAAGTGGACCATTTCCTGAATTTTTGATTGACTAGGATCTGTCACAGTCCACTGTATGACAAGACACTTGAGTTATCAATTACCACTTACTCCAAGGTTGTATTAAACAGAAGTGTCTAAACATGTCTTCTAAACATATCTATTCATTACAGGTGCATTATCAGGATTGAATCAACATGATCAATGAGCTTGCAATGCTTGTACCAATACTATAATATCATGTGTATATTGCACACACTTTTTTCCTCGGAGTCAGAAAATTGTTCAAAAATAGTGGTGCACTTAATACATAGGAACAAATTCGACCCCCCTTTTTTAAGGTCACTTTCTCAGTGCTGCAGACCATTTTCTTGAATTGATTACTCTTTGTAACATTATTTACATCAAAGTTTACTACTAATACTCTAATTTCAGAGATTCATATACATCAGTCCTACCAGTTGTAAACTGTTGGGAATCATATTTTTTTTGATTGACAGACTCTATCGCAGTCTTGTGTGTGGATGTTTTGTGCATTTATGAATTTTCTTTTTGCATGAAATACTTTATGTGCTAGTAGCATATAAATAGCTGACCACTCTTAGATTTAGTTACATGTACATCTTTAAAGAAGCTAAAAGCAGGTGACACATGTGTTTCTTGGAACACTCTAGTTATATTATAATGCTTGAAGCATCAACAAGTCAGTGTATTCAATGAAAACTGAATGGAGTGTTGCACTACCATTGCCAAAACTGGACTTGAATACCTTTCAGACAAAATTAATTAACCATACAAATTTATTCATGTCCTTAAAATACAAATTCAATTAAATATGGATTCATACATTGTACTTTCAGTGATTTGACAAGTATCATTGACAATCAAGAAAACATGATAATGCTAGTATTCACTGTGCAAATGTCTCTCTTTATCATTTTTCCTCATATTAGAAATGATAAATATGCATCAAATTAATAATTTCTTTCTAATCTCATGTCCATTATATTCCAATATTATCAATCAGAAGGTTCAAATTGCAGTCAAAAATTTATATGAACTTTTAGGCTTTCCACATGTTCAAGAGTTCGTCATGTAGCTGTTAAGTGTACATGTACTAGGTAATTTTTAGATAATTAAAATAGTTTTAAAACATTGACACATGTCTCAAATATCAACAGGATGGTCAAAACTTGATGATTTGAGAGAAGCCAGCTGATATCTTTCAGTCTATCCCAAAAGCACCAGTCCATCGTACAAAACAAGTGAAAATCTGATTGGTCCGATGCATTATCTAGGAAAATCGGTCTGTTTGTCCGAGGTTCGTTTTGGTTGGGTTTGAAATTTTGTATTTCTATTTCATTATATAGAGTAGACACTTAATCTAATACCATAACAGATTTTTAAAAACGTATTGTTGATTGTGATTAAAACTGTATTTAAAATATTTCGATGGGACACTACCAGGAAAGAAAAAGAAACATTTCAGTTAATCTCTTAATGTAATATCTGTTTAGTGATTCATATGCTATGAAAAAACATCGTTATGATCATTATATAAAAAAGTTTTGGACCGGTGAAAATTCGTTTGGTCCTGTGAAATTGTGTTAACTGTCTGTCCGAATGTCCTGTGGTGATTTTTCTTTTTCGCGAAGACTGATCTTTACATGGCAGAATAAATGAATGCCTAAAATAACAATTCTGTATTGTAATACCCGGTAGTCAGAAGATGCAGGCAATTAATATTTATTTTTCCCATCCATACTGTTTGTGTCAACTATATTTTAAATAATCATATGTTTTAGTCTATTTCTGTAATATGAATAAAATCATTTTTATTACTACTGTATTCAACTGTAGTGCATTCTTGTTCCATATAACAACAGTTTTCCATCTGTGTACCTTGAAATTCAGTCTACACCTGTACACTGTCATAAAATGTTGCCACAGAACATGCAGAACCAACAAAGGAGTGAATAAAAGTCTAGATGCAAATTCTTCACGCAGAACTTTGCTGAAACATGCAATGCCACTCCTAGGTTGTTAAGAAAACCAATACATAACCATGGTAACAGCTGTTAGTTTTTAAATAAATTTTGATTTTGCCATGCAATTTCCCTGATATCCTATCATAAATCATAAAATATGGAAAATATATAGACATTGCACAAATGACTGTTTAGTAAAAAGTTAGGCATAATACATTAATGTAAATCGCAAGCATTCATGTGACTAAGCAACAGTGTATGTGTAAACTTAGCTGCAATAATATACTATGTAGCCCTCTCCTTTATATTTTTTTGGGGGGGGGGGGGGGGGGGGGCTTGGTTCATGGAATAGTTCCTGCTATGCGGGGAATTATAGGTAAAGAATGGGGATAATGCACAGTCAAACCTTAATTGAATCCACTGTGATCAGAGAAAAAAAAAACATCCAGTTATCAACAGTTTAATTCTTGAAGATAAAAGGGGTTGGTAGTTTTCAAAAATTTGTGAATACAAGATCCCAAAGTCACAGGAGTGTTGATAAAAAAAATCTGCGCTTCTGTATGCAGGGCTAGCATTCATGGTTACTGTTGAAATGTCATCTTAAACTTTTCTGTTATATGGTACTACAAATTGATTCATATCAGGATTCAGGAAGGTAAAATGTGTTGACAGATCTGGACTTATTCCCTGAGGTTAATTACATAATACATCACAGAAAATGGGGGACGGTGTGTCTCCCTTCAAGTATTCAATTGTCTTTCATGTGTAACAGAATTACACGGTCTACTACTAATTCACTGAATCTGTTTTTCATCATGGAAATGAAAGCAAGATCATTTGCATGGCCCCCTCTCCCTTTTTTGCATTTGGTATTAAATCATGGTATTGATACAATTTTTAAAATGTTTTCGGATGTTGCTAGACAAGTTTTAGTACCATGTAACTTCAAGAGGTTTTTACAACTGAATTGCATCGATCAAGACGATGATAAGCTTGACATATGTATAGAACCATGAACATGCTAAATCCTCACGGTCAAAGAGAACTCATTAGAGTACTCTGACATCCTGTTTATAGGTCTATAATACGTGGCACCCTGCTCTATGTATATTCAGCAATCATATTATATATGTTCCACGCCTTAATAACAATTGTAAAGACTTGTCTGGTCAATTTAATATATCATTTATAATGGCTAACAGTGTGCACTCACCCATGGCAAGCAGATATACAACCAGATAGACACGTTGGAAATTTTTGAAAGCGGCATCGCTGATGGTTGTTAGAGCAGTTCTGGTGTAAATAAACAACACAGCACACAACACGCTGAGGATGGCGAACCCCGAGATGAAGATATTCATGTTTTGTCGTTTGTTTGGGTTGTTTACGGTAGTCAATATCGTGTCATGTTGGAGCAGGGGAAAACAAAACGGAAGAGCTCGAATCACGGGAAGTAACTCGCTCAATTATCAAGGGCAAATAACTCGTGCACTAACATCTTGCATTGGTTAAATAAATATTTCATTTCGATTTAAAAAATATTTTCCAGTACGTTAAATAAATCAATAATAAAATAGTTCATTTCCTGACTCTAATATATCATAAACTATTTCTTTTTTCGCTATAAAACACATCCATCTAGAACGTTTTGACAGATACGTGTAAAGAAGTCACAATAAGGAAGGATTTTACACAATGTTACATTACTTCCTATTTTGCATAATTTGCCCACAGGCGCTCACAGTTTAATTTCATTGGCGTCGGAAGCAAATTAAAATTGGGGGGGGGGGGGTTCTAATTGTAAAAAAAATCATCCTTTCAAAAAACCTGACAAGCCAAAAAAAAACAAACAAACAAACAAACAAAAAAAGTATAAGATAAGATTTATTAATACCAATTTGGGGCCCATCAGGGCATACAAGTAATAAGAAAAATATACAAGAAGAAATTCAAAATTGATGGTAGCAACTAACAAAAGATAAATGATGACACAGCAGTTGGGGATTACAACATATATAATCAACATACTGTAAATATAAAGCTTTTTTTTTTTTAACTAAAGTATAAACATTATTTCTCTTTTGTATTTATTTGTTTCTTTGTTTAACATTGCATAATTTGCTATTTCTTATTTTAAAGATATTGATTAAAAAATTACCCAGCTTGATAAGAAAAATGTCATTTTCATTAGACATAATCCATAAAAATTTTATATATTTGGGAAAAAAGCCCCCCCCCCCCCCCCCCCCGGTTCCGACGCCTATGAATTTAATAAAATTATCGACGAATAAGTCTATATAGATAAACTTTATATCTTAAATGAAGGGATGGACATATCGCTTGTCATTTATATAGTTTATTTATTTTATTATGTATTTAAACAATATTTTAGTATTTATTCAGATCATGAATAGATTAAATTAATTTAGTTTATTAAATAAGATGGGGCGCGCCTGTAATTTTTTTTTTTTTTTTTTTTTTTTTTTTTGCATTGTAATTATAACTGAAAAAAGTGCCCGCGGTCTATACATGTACATACAGATATGGTTTTTCCATATTAAAATGTCAATTAAGATTGTTTTCTTTATTATAAATCTTTAAATTTAATAATTCTGCGTCATGCAATATGTTCATGTGATACATTTTTGGATATAAACATGATAAAAGCGTAAAGTTATAATTAAGGCAGAAAGTATACCCCCCTTTTTTCACATTCTGATTTTTTAAATATATGTTTTCTATGTTTCAAATTGATTGATATTCGTGAAAAACAGAGCACTGTATTAAAACATGTAAATTCATTTTTTAGCAATATCAATTTTATGCGAAAGCTGTTTTGAAATCAATTATATTTGACTTCACCGGAACACTGGTCCTATGAAGCCACATGTATACCCCCCCCCCCCCCCCCCCCCCGGAGAGAAAAAAAAATGTTTCCCTCTTTCAGTCTAGCTTTATTATGTTGGCCATATTTTGATATTAAAGCCAGAGCAGTAGACTTTTTGTCCATAGAGTAAATGGATAATTACCAAATTCAATATTTAGACTCATCAATAGACACACAATGAGTAGGAAAATGCCCCCAGCTCCTTTCCATGATGCATGTAAAATAATTAAATTTACATTTACTTTCCTCTTATGTATGGCCTTTCATTTTTTACAGACGTATTAATTTATTATTTTTTTCCCTACATCGACTTCCGATGCTACTTGTCTTGTGATATATAGCCAGAGTAGAAAACTAGAATGGCGCATGCACTAATTGTAAAAAATATTAATTTTCCGTGCTCATGGTTTTGAGCATGCATATTAATAATTTTAGGAAATGCAATCAAACAAAGACACCCGATTTGCATTTTCTATTGTTGTGCAAAAACTGTATGCTATCATTGCAAGACTCCGCAAATACACTGTAAGACACTTAGGCACATCCTTTTTTTTTTAAATTATTGGTAGGGCTTTTTATTGGAAATATATTCATCATAAGGGCGTTTGAATAAAATTTGGCACTGAAAGTTCTAATCTCAATCATATGTATTACTTTTTTATTCTTTTTAATTATTTTCCAATTTTGAATGTCCATTATTTTCATTATTTAATACCTGGTCATTTATCATTATAACAGAAACAATTACTTGATAGACACTGCAAAAATTCACCCCCCCCCCCCCTTTCAAAAAAAAAAGAAGAAAAGAAAGAAATGCATGTAGGTTTTTTACATAATTTATTACTTCAACATTAGAGAAAAAATATAAAGATAATGAAGATATCACAGTACCTCAATGGTTTTATACATAAAACATCAAAGCAAGTAACAAAATACAATGCACAGACTTGGAGAATTGTTGTCTATTTCATCACAGAATAGACCTTAATAATTAAACATGATTTCTCTTCATCAGTAACACAAATTTCTTGGACATCCTTTCAAATATCAGTAGTCACTACCTCCACATATCCATGTTGACTTGAGATTTGAGAATATCTGAATTGTATAACAACTTTAGAATCTCTGAGTTGTAACCCACCATACTATACCATTGAACACTTATGGCCATTCATATTGACATATCTTTTGACATGAATGAATAAAATAAGACATGTAAAGTTTTGACAGTTTAGATTTCAATAGGCTTAGGCACTGGTTTTCTGATATGTCGCATGGTGGATCCCGATTCTGCTGGTTTGAAGGGGGCGTGTTTGCCGTAGGGTCGGGGGATGGGCAGTTCGCTGTCATCGTCAGGGATGTAAGCATTAGGGCGTGGTTCCGCGGTGGTTGTGACTCCGCCCGCTATCTTGTATTGTTCCTCTTCTTCCTCCATCTGCAAATATATTTCAGTATTATCATTAATAAGTGAACTAAGACATTAAAGTAATTTTTTTAATGCATTTAATTGCTTGTAATTTCAAAATAAAATTTTATAAAAAGTTTTTGAATATAATAAAAAATATTAACTTCTAGTAAATAAAAAAACTGCTTTGCAAGACTGATTTATCTATTAAAATGTTCAACTTTGCATCGATTTCAGTTGTTTTTGTTGTTTAAATCTCTCCAAATTCTGTTGAATCTTGGTGTGTGGATTGGACAATTTTTACTATACAATAAAGGCTGTACACATGTACTAATTACTGGTTAATTAACATACCAGTCTGATTTCCTCCTTGTCCCTTGCCCGCCTGTCTTCGTCGCGGAGAATCTTCAGCCATTCTGCCTCCACCTCGTCACTAGGTGGTTCCCCTTTCTCCATACGAATATAGCACTGTTCTAAGTCTGCCTCCTTCTCCTTCAGTTGTTGTTGTAATTTTAAGGCATTGGCTTGATTCATTGAAAGTTCAGACACTAAAGCCATCATTTTACGAGTGGTTTCCTTAATTTTAGCTTGTAATTCATTAACCTGGAATAGAATTTATCAAAATTTTATCATTTTGCAGTGTTATGCAGGATTAAATGCATTTTATATTTATTAATCAAAACCTTCAGTTTCAGAAAGTTTGAAAATTGATCACTGCTATTGGAAAATTTCCCAACCTAATCCAACCCAATATTTTTATTCGGAATATTGCTTAATACATACATATATGTGAGGTGCATTTAAAAAAAATCATTTATTTGGTTTATTAATTATCTATAAGTAAAACAAACATGACAGACCTTCTTGGCAAGTTCTAACGTGTCTTCCTTTCCACCTTCAGCTTTGTTCTTCACTCTGTCCGCCAGTCGATTTACTTGTTCAAATATTAAATCCTTTTCTAGTAAATGTTCCTCCTTTTCTGCTAACCTGGCTTCCAGCTGTAAAAGGTTAACATCAAATCAGATCAATTACTCTCAATTTATATAATTCTTGTAAAAAACTGCAAATTATTTTACCTCTGTATTTAAAGCATACTGTAAACCAACTTTTATTAGCGATGACTTAATTTTGCGATTTACCTGGAATAAACTTGTTCGTGACGATTAATTTTTGTGATCAAGCCTATTTTGATCTGTTGTTAATAGACACAGAGACTTTAAGGACTGGTACTTAGTGAGAAATATTCGTGATGACGAGGCTCTCGCGAACTTCGTGAAAATTTCTTGCACACGAATAAAAGTTGGTTTACAGTATTTTGATTGTATCTGTCCCTCTCAAAAATTTTTCACTTATATGGAGCACCACCACTTGCTGGTGGAGAGCTGCAAATTTAGACCTATACTTGACACTCTGACTGACTGATTTAAAGTTTAAAAAATTTCAAAATTTGAATATCAGGAATCACAATAAATAACAATTGTCTCCCTTACATCTTCTATTTTATCCTGTAGTTTGGCCGGCGGGAGATCCTTTCCCTCCAGATATCGGACGCGACTCTCGTCATATGGATCTTCCAGATGATGTTCCAGTTCCAGCATCCGGTCCTGACACTGCTGTAACTGGATCTGTAACGTCACTAACTCCTCCTCCATCGCCCGCTTATTGGGCAGCTGTTTCCAGAGTAACTCCTGTTTCCTCTTTTCTTCGTTCAGAGCCATTTTGATAAATCTTATCTCTTCCTCTCTGGCCTGAAGCTCCACATTGCCATTTCTTATCATTTGTTCTGTAATAAAAAAAGAATGAAGGTTTATATTATTCTTACTTTCTCCTGTAATCAGTATTTTTTTTCTTGATACATTTTAAACATAATGGTAACTCCCTTTTTATCAGCAGGAAATATATCTTTTTAATAGGTAATCTGCTTGCAAAAATTTCAATCACACAATTAATTCTTTGCTAAAAGATTATTCATGCAAATATAACTCTTCTATTGATTAAAAGATTTTATAGAGCACTACAAAAATGTGAGAAAATTTTGTTTGGCTTATAAATGCAGAAAACAACAGTCATTTAAGGAATGAATTTAATAGCTACCCATTTTATACGGTATAAACTGGGTTGGGGCAGTTTACGCTTTATAAACCGCGAAGTGGTTT